ACACATTTAAGCATTTATCAACACGTATTGACACATCACTACATTATCGACTCAACTTAGAATTTCCCTCATTTAGAAATCAACTTAGCCTAACTCGCACACGTCCTTAGTTCCTTCCCAAATGACAGCGCATTTTTCGTTTCTTCAGAGTTTTTTAATCAATTTCAATCCACTATTTTGATTATTCTCGAGTCTCCGGAGTGTAGTATTGGATTCACGTTCGGTTTTACAACAGTTATCAAATTGGATAAACTCCATTTATTAAAATATTTTGATGATCATACCTGTCTAATATAATCCTGTGTTTGTTTGCTAAATACTTAGTTTGGATTGTCTTTAAAAGCTTATAATCAGTAATAGGTGTATTATTTTTTTTTAATGAGCGTCCAAAAATTGACTTTAAGGTCATACTTACAACAAAGTATAATAGTTATTAGTAAAATCTACTATTGTATTAACAGCGAGTTATACTTATGACACATATTCAGTATCAATAATCAATAAGAATTAATAAGCCTTTTAGGTTATACTTATAACACAGTATAATGGTTATCAGTAAAATCTACTATTGCATCAATAGTGGGTTATACTCATGACATATTTCATTTTAATTATCAGTAAAATGTGGTATGACGTTGATGGCGGGTCCTACTCACAAAATTTTATAGTTATGATAGTTGGTAGTTACTATTGCCTTAACTTAGAGTTTTCTACAATATGTTTTTGTAAAATCCTCCCTGTGGATCTGCCTATACCAAGCAATTCAAAAATAGTTCATTTTTGTAAGAGCGATAAAGAGAATCTCACATTTACATAAAGAAAATGAGTTTATTTTAATAAGTTCCAAAACTATTGTTGAATAAATCACGAATTTGTTATTCATTTTTATTCTATTTATTGTGTATGGTTCTACCTCTTTTTAATATATTTGATAGATCCGGACATATTTTTTCAAACACTGTCTGCTCTGGTTTACCACCAATGCAGTAATTTTAATTTATATACGTTACAGTCAGCAAATATTGTATTATACCTATGTAATGGATAAACCCAAGATTCGTGTATTATGGTCTAACTGATTGATTTTAATTCAAGTACTCACAGACATCAATGGAGTGTTACAAGACTGATATTACTATTAACTAGAAAAATTTGCAAATACAAATATTTAATCTTATCAAATTGTGTTCACATCTTAGGTATCTAAAATATATCTCAAATCTATAGACTATATTAAAATTCCCCTTTTAATATGTGAAGTATTTGCAGCCACTCAAACTCATTCAGTAAACAGTAAAAATTTACTCAAAATCATTAAAATTCTTCCTCTCTCATTCATTGGGACTTGATAAATTGCTGTTAATATGTGTAGTTGCATTAAACATTCTCACAAGTCGTAAATGAGTACATGAGTCTCTTACCAGTTTAGGCTATCGATCGTTACCTTTTGTACGGGTTTCTCCAACGCTCTGCGTAAGCCTGGTAGAAGGCGCAAGCGTAAAACAGCAGCTCTGGCAGCAACAAGCACCAACTACAGTGGCATATACCATTTGAAGCAGTGTTGAATGTTGTCTCCGTTGTTGTTGTTGTTGTTGTTGTTATTCTGCTGGTCATGCCTTCTTACCACAATGCCAACACCAGTAATTTAACTGAGTCAATGTTAACTTGTTTTCGGTTATATCACCGTAGCCATTTACACTGTGAGGTGCTGTTCATTGTACGAATCGCCGAGAATGATGCTCGCTGTCTGTCCGTTCACGTAGCGTCAAGTATGCGTCATCATAATTAAACTTTAGACAGTGTTTCTCGCTGTTTGAGTGTTTTTAATGACTCCACAATAAAGTATCTACTCGCTTTTTGCCTGCTTAATTATTAATCTATTGATTTTTCATTAAATGCAGTTTATTGTCTGCTGTTCTGTTTTCTGCTTACTGCTTACCAATTTTTTTTAAATTTATTTATATGAATCTTGTCTGGTTTTATTGCATTTCACACATTTCACACATTTTAACATATTTTTGGTTGCGATAATCTAAGTGATTAATGACATTTTCGTTAAGTTCCTATGGGTGCTACAGTTCTATCGGTGCACAGAGTGCAGTCCCTTCCTATGCCACAATTTTAATGAATTGAAATATATTTCTGGCATATGCTGTTATCCACACGCACATCTTCTTAACCTAATCCAGTTCAATTTTAGGGCTTTTAAGTGAAAATATTAAATTTACTTTATGTTATTTACTTAACGTCATTTAGCATTAATTATGCGGTTTTTATTTTCTCATTTTTGTTTATTTGTGCAGATTGACTTATTTTTCATTTAGAGTAGCTGTGGTTTCTAACTGCAATCAATCCCTGCCAGAAAGCAAATGCTTAATGCTTACAAAGCCTATGTACCGACACAATTGAAATTTATTGCCACCTCAACACGTATAGAATAGAATCATCTGTTTGCGGTTTCATACAAATAAAATATCATGAGCTTTGAATTTCATTTAAAATTGATCGGGAATTGATAATAAAAAAAATGAAATTATGAAAATGATGAGATAAACAAAAAAAAAGTGAATAGGACTAAGAACCACATACATTTCACTGAAGTAAACAAATTTTGTTGTTAATTCAATAACAATAATACTTCATCATTATTAATGAAGTACAATAGTATTTCAGGCTCCCAATGAAGCAGAGCACAACACCCATACCAACAAATATTTTATATTACAAGTGACCCGATCGGAACGAAATACAGACATTAAGTCTTTTGAATGAATGTCAGAATGGCAATCCTGTAGGAGTTCCAAAATATCCTTTTTGTCATAACATAAACCGATACGAAATTATATCAGACGGTTTTGTGTACTAGACGAATGAGATTTTTAACAACAACAATGAAAACAAGCTCTATTACAATAAATACTTAGTACGGATCTGGTTAACCATAGTAAATTTATTATACTTACTACTTATTACTAACATTACTTATCCCTTAACCCTTTTGTGGAATAAACTGGGCCAGTACAAAACAGATTAACAAGAAAATGGAAAATCATATGCGGCTGGAATACTGGGTAAACTTTCCAGGACTCAGACAAAGCAAAGCACTGATAACACTGTACTTCTAAAAAGACATTCTTAAATTCTCAAAATGTAATTTAAGGTTGATAACGGGTTTCATTAAAGGTCATTATGGTCTAAAATATCACCTTCATAAACTACAATTATCTGCTAACTCGGAATGCAGATTATGCCTCGAAGATGAGGAAACGACCATACACATTCTTTGTGACTATCCAGCTTTAATAACGCACAGAAGAAACCTGTTTCATAAAGAATTTTTGTCACCAGAGAGCAGATTAAGAACTCTTCTCTAGATTTAGTTCTAGACTTTATTCACAAAGCTTTAAGGGGCTTTGTTTAATCAATAGTAAAACTGGTACAATAGGACTCTTCTGGCAGCAGTATCGGCTGTTGGGCAATTTTCACGTCTACTTTTAAAAAAAAAAAAGAAACATTACTTATTTGTTTAAAGAATATTAAATTGAAATATCGCCCAAAACGTATATTACCAACTATTTTATTACTTGTTAAAAATTTATCCATATTAACTCAGTTTTTAATAAGACTTCCATATATTGTATATATACTATATAAATTTCTTTATTTTTATGCAGTTCATGTCAATAATTGCTACCATAAATGTGACCTCATTTGAGATTTCAATCATACTCCCATAAGTAGTTTTAAAAATTATATTAAAAGGTAAAGTAGTTTTCATGATAAAATGTTAGGTGTACATGTAACCTATAGGGGATATTAACGTAATAAATATGAAAGTTTTACAATTACTTTAATTTATAAAAACTTCTCCCATCAACAATTTTATAGCTCAATATGATTTTTTATTATGTGGCCTTTAACATAAATGAAACTGTAAGGAAATAAATAAAGCCTTTCTGATACAAATTAACAATAGATAACATAAGGTACTGTCCTATTTCAGACATATAAATTTTTAAATAATAATGAAGTAGTTTTCTTTAAGAAGCTTTCTTTTTTTTTAGATAAGTCTACCAAAGCTTATATTCACTGATAACGACCTCAGAATTTAAAAAAAAAACTAAAACTCATCGGTAACCACTATTAGAGAAGAATACAGACTTCTTTCGATATCTTTAAAGTTTTAATAAGTTTTTAAAATGTAATTTGTTTTTTACAATAATTGTAGCACTTTTATTTGGTTTCATTAAAAAAGAACTGCGACCAGTCTTTATGTTATAAGGGTTACTTTCGTCTTGGCTCGATTAAAATACCTTAATCGTCTTTTCTTATATTATATATTATTGATATTTGTTTATCTAAGTTGTCATAACAACTCGTTTACCTGACAAATCTGTACTTTATTCTTCTCTGCTTTATACACTGCTTCTACAGAGGCGTACATCAAGTACGATTACTGTTTCATTAAATTGATCAGATTCGAGCTTTCTATGCCTCTTTTATGTTAAACTATGTATTCACTTTTTTGATAGATCTTCATGATATGACAAAGATTAAAGCCGTTGGATCGTACTACATAGAATAGTAAAGATGTCATATAACTCTTGTTTGATTTAAATGCGGTACTCTTCGTTAATGCATACAAAATCAGGTGTCATATGAACAAAATTTTCTCTTAAATACTCCTGGTACTACTACATAATTCAATTCTAAAATGCATATCTAGTGCTATATATCATAGATGATGAGTGCGTTTGGGAGTATAGGTGTATAATCTTTTACCTCAATCCAACAATATTCCGCAATACTGTAACGAACAAATATTCTGCTCTTATTACTATGTACAAGTGAAATTGTCTATTTGTCTTGATATATATTTAGATATTTAAGAACATATTGTTACTATATAATATATAAAAAATATTATGTATAATACATAAGAAAAACCAATCAGATAAATATATAATTTATAAATACATAAACTTTTGTTATTTCTTTAGCAAACTTGGTCTTGATCTTGTACCTCGTATTGGGCCACTTGCGGTGGATCCACACAATATTGGAATTGTAGGACTATATAATGTGCATGTAACAAGTGCAGATAACGCAAAAGCTTCTTCAGTGAGTATTCATATTCAGTATTTACAGTAAGATAACATTGAATCTAAATTATTTACTCTATCCCAAAACAGAGTCGTGGTACCTTACGTCGAAAAACACAACGAAAAATTTTGACACATCATTTATACTTTTGTATGCGAGATTTTGGCTATCGAATCGGAATCGATGATGCAGAAGTTTATTTTTTTCTTTACGATGGTAATCCAGCGCATATGAGAGCAGTCTCAGAACGATTTTTAGTTAAAATAAATAGAGATGGCTTTTCGAATTATATAGAAAAATTTCATAGCAACTGCACAGTGTTCACAGACCTAGGTGCGTAAATACATATATCTACATATTTCAATCCGTTTCATTATTTTTATTATTTTACCTAACTATGCCTATAGGTGCAGCGGATTTAAGTGAAGATCTATTTCTCGTGGCTGTTATCATGCGAGTGGGTAAAATCATACACTCTGAATCAGTCAAAAAAGTAGAAAAAGGTACTGGCTGTTGTACTGGTTCAGTATATCGGCGTCCCTTTGGTGTTGGTGTACTTCCACTCAATGACTTGTGTCAATTTGACAGTAGCATAGAGTCAGAAGAACGTGAAAAGAGTTTTAAGGTAAACTTGAACCGATTAGCATTCTAATTATTGCAGTACATTTACACACCTTATGTTTATAGATTTTTCAATGTGAAGAAAAGGACTTCAATCAACTACATGAACTGATAATAAAAAAATCAAATAGCAAATTTTCACCAATCACTACAGGTAATCAAACAACGCAGGGCATTATAGTTTCACTAAAGCTGCTGCATGGCGGTTTGGGGCAGGCACGACAGGAACAGCCATTACTATTTCAAGGTACTACTATAACTCGCAAAATGGGCTTCCCGGATGTTATAATGCCCGGCGATGTACGTAATGATATGTTCATCACATTGGAAAGGGGCGAATTCGAACGTGGAGGAAAAAATACTGCAAAAAATATTTTGGTCACTGTGGTTGTTTTGGATGTTGCTGGCAATATCCTGACTGAATGCTTATGGGGTGCTTCTGGTATGGACTCACAGAATTGTTATAAATCCATGATATTATACCATCAAAACTCACCATGTTGGAATGAGATGTTGCGACTTACTGTACCTATTGATAAATTTTCAACAGCACATGTCCGCTTCGAATTTCGTCATTGTTCGACACGTGAAAAATCTGAGCCCAAACTATTTGCTTTTAGTTTCGCGCGTTTAATGGATCCTAGTGGTGCCACCTTAACGGATGGTCAGCACGAATTGTTTGTGTACAAATGTGAGGATGCTACAAAACTGTTGGCTGCTAATTATTTAAAGTTACCTTGTAGACCAAAAGATGCACAAGCTAAAGTAGATTGTAGTTCAATTTTTCATCGCAGCTCCAAGGAAGTTTTCGTCATTAAATCTCTATTGTGCTCAACAAAATTAACTCAGAATGCGGACTTACTATCTTTGTTGCAATGGCGTGCACATCCAGAAACAATTCAAGACTCCCTCACTGGTGTCTTGCGTCTTAATGATGAAGAGTTGGTTAAATTTTTACAAGATGTCTTAGATGCTTTATTCGCAATGTTTTCAAATGAAGAAGGAAATAGCACACAGCATTCAGGATTGGTGTTTCATGTGTTGGTCAGCATATTCAGTTTACTACAAAGTAACAAATTCCAACATTTTCGTCCAGTTATGAATGCTTATATTGAAAATCATTTTGCTGCTGCATTGGTCTACAAAGGCCTGATAACTTCAGTTGAACACATGGCTGTATTTATGACAAAAGCTGAACATCCCGATCCATTCCAAAAGTGTTTTGGTTCTTTAGAATATATTTTCAAATTATTAATACAATCACGTAAGTTATTTGCGCGTGCTACCGGTGGACAATATGAAGATTCATTTCGCCGTGATCTGCATTCACTATTCACTGCTCTAAATGGTATGTTAGCAGTGCCTTCATACGATGTTATAATACCAACGCAGGAAGCTTTATTGAACTCAACCGGTGTGGTATTGGAGCAATTGAAAGACACTCTACCAGCGCCAGAATTGGGTATGCTAGCACGCAATATGTTAGATGCCATACCAAGAGATGCACCCATACGTTTAATACAAGCCAAACTAAATGCAGTAAAGGATTTAGTATCAGGAGAACTATTTCATGAAGATGGTAAGCTTTCACTGTTATACGAAACCGTATTCTCATATCATAACATTTTTCTATTTCATATTTAAAGACTCTCGCACTGTAATACTGTCTGTGGCCTGTAAACACTTACGTATGCATCTCAGTAGACGTGATGAACTACGTTTATGTGCTGAAATTTTATCAGAAATATTAACACATTTTTATGACCTGCAGAAGGAGCAGAAAGAAAAAGTCACGAATACACTACAGCACGATTTGGATTCGCTTTGCAAAAATATACTTGGCATTCTCATTAAAACAATTATCATCATGATGGAAGGCGCAAATACTGTTTTACCACAACTAGTGGCTTGTTTACTTGGGTTATTGCAACTGCTTGATGAAACTCATTATAAGCGCTTTTGGGATGAACTAAGTCCAAACAAAGATCCACGTGATTTAAAAGAATTTCTAAGCAAATCATTGCTTGTGTTCGAAGAATTACTTTCACAGGATTGGGTTGTCTTCCCTACTGATTGGCTTATAATGAAATTGGCTAGTAACGATGTGCTACGTAAAGCGCTTGAAGAATTTGCTAAACCTTTAGTATATCGATTTTTGGGTTCACAATCTTTTGACTCACAGCTTTGGTGGTCTTACTTTAGTTTAGCTGTAGCTTTTCTAACTCAGCCTTCTCTGCAATTGGAGCAATACCGTGAACCAAAGCGACGTAAAATATTACATTCACATGGCGATATGCGTGTTCTTATGGGCTTCCAAATATTAAGCATGTGGTCGCAATTAGGAGAGCAAAAATTACATTTTATACCCTCAATGGTAGGACCGTTCCTTGAAGTAACACTTGTACCGGAACCGGCGTTACGAAAAGCAACTTTGACAGTCTTTTATGATATGATGCAGTGCGAACAGGTTTGTTAAAATTAAATTTATATATCATTTTGTTTACATATATATAATTATAAAATATGTAATATGTAATATTTTATAATAGAGTGCGCGAGGATCTTTTCGTTTAGTGGAAAGTGAACTAATTGATAAATTAGATTTATTGATTAGTGAAAATAAAGGCGATGATGAATATCGTGAACTCTTTAGCACTATGTAAGTTTATATATATCGTATAAATATTAATATTTATATATTCTTTTGCTTTTGTTATAATAATATAATATATGTAAAGAATTTATTTTGAACTTTGTGTATAATATATAAATGTAAAAATATTTTTTAAATACTATGTAATATATATAATCACTGCTTATCTATACTTCAAATTATGAAACATGTTTATATAATTTTTTTATAATAATGCAAACACATCAAAGGGAACATCTAAGCTTGGTGTAAGTCCATATTAACTCATTTTAGCCTTTTACGCATTAGAGATATATACTCGTATGTAGTTGTTCCGACTAATCCTTAAGTGTGTTTTTATAATTTTAAAAGTAATATAATTAGTTTTATATATTTATGTATTATATTTTTTATATTTATTTATTTTCATAATTTGCGTTCATCGCTTGCATGTATAAATCTATTTAAGTAATGCTAAGAACTATTACGTGCTCTTTATGTATTATAAATAATACTTATTGTATTAATATGAATAAAATGAACAGACTTGCGTGGGTGTTGTTGTCTAGACTAATTTTGGATTTCTAATAGAAGGATTAAGCGGCACTTAGTTACTTGCACTCACGAGCGATTCCGGAATGTAACCAGGCTGCCTCTAAAATCAGACTTACATTATAAACTAATCTGGTATTGTCTATTCTTAGAAAAATGCTTAAAATAACATTGGGTTATTTTTACTGGTATTATAGTCTAGATAAGTGACCTTAATTTGGAGTCCTGATGGTAGGGTTAAACAACGTATAGTTTTGAGCGATTTCGGAATGTTGACCTGGCTGCTCCTGAAATCAGACTCACATAATAAACCACTCTGATGTTGCTTATTGTTAAAATATTATCTTAACTAATATATATATCTTTCTTGCTATGTATTGAAGAATCGAGCATATAATCAATAATATTAACTAATGCATAAATTACTAATATTCTTCAGGTAATAACAAAATATGTTATAGATTCCTAAAATATCAGTAAAAAAACATTTTTATTTGAATTTTAACTATGAAAAAACTAATGTACAAAATACAAAATATGGACTATGATTGTTTAATTTAAATTTATTATTATTTCTCTGGAAAAATAATTATTTCTCTAAAAATTCAAATGACCATACCATTTGAATACCCGATTAATGTACGAGTCATTGAATCTTACATGCCTACGGACTAAAAAGTCCCCACATTGTCAGCTGAAAATTCTTGAAATCCCTGTAGTACGACCTTAAGGTATTCCTTAACAGAGATCTCTGGTTAGTATTACGAATAACTTTTTATTGTTTAGTCCATTCTATTGTCTTTAGACCTATTCTTAAATTTAAAGTTATTAATTAAGTTCTTCTTGACTGCGAAGAGCAATTTAATCCTAAAAAAATAGACCATATGAAGAGGCTTTTACCTTTAATGCAAAACATCGCCAACAGTTACAATAAAAGCAAATATATTAAATCTCTATAGATCTTTGCAATTTTGTCGCCATTAAATTTTAGCTAATAGTACATATTATAATGCTTTTTAAGTTATTACTAACATCAAAAATTGTTCTTATTAGACTATATTATTTAAGAATATTTAAAAATAGTTTTTGTTTTGCTCTTTTTAATTTCTCATATTATAATTGCACTTAATTTAATAATAAATTATAAACAAATCATTTATTATGTTTTAATTATTACGCATGAAATAGCCTCTTGGAGAAAGTACAAACTGAGAACCCTGGTTGGAAAGATGCTGGCACAGCATTTATAGCATCTGTTACAAGATTATTAGAACGATTATTAGATTATCGCAGCGTTATGCAAGGTGAAGAAAATCGTGATAAACGCATGTCATGTACAGTAAATCTCTTAAATTTTTATAAAAATGAAATAAATCGCAAGGAGATGTATCTAAGGTAATTCAAACTAACATAAACAATAATAAAAATACTATATTTATCTCTTATATGTTAGATATATATACAAACTACATGATTTGCATTTGCAAGCTGACAACTTCACAGAAGCTGGTTTCACCTTAAAATTGTACGCAAGCATGTTAAGTTGGGATCGTGAGTCTCTAAGTTTTGCACCAAGTGATACCATAGGCCAACCAGAATGGCAACGTAAAGAGCGTTTGTACCATGAGGTGAACTAAAAAATATATCTATTCTATTATTTCTTGTCATAAGTTACAACAAGTGTAATGAAACTGTGTTTAAATATCTAAATTTCTTTAAAAAACAGATCCTTATTCTTTATCTTATCTTTATCTTTATTCTTTTTTAATCCTATCAGATATTGAAATACTTTGACAAAGGAAAATGTTGGGAGAAGGGCATTCCCCTTTGCAAGGAACTAGCTGTACTTTACGAAACACGCCGTTTCGATTATAATAAATTGAGTGAAATTTTAATTTTAGAAGCCAAATTTTTCCAAAATATATTAACACAATTACGTCCTGAACCAGAATATTTTCGCGTGGGCTTTTATGGTTTAGGATTCCCACTTTTTGTGCGGGTAAATAAAGGTTATAATAACAATTTTATCGCTTTATACTAAAAGCAACATTATTTCTATAGAACAAACAGTTCGTTTATCGTGGACTTGAATATGAACGCATCGGTGCATTTACACAACGTCTACAAACTGAGTTTCCTACCGCACAAATTCTTAGTAATAATAATCCACCTGATAATAGCATTCTTACGGCATCGGAGCAATATATACAAATTAGTAATGTTCGTCCTCTAGGTGATGCTCAAGCTTTGAAAACAGCTATGGTACCAGTGCCTGAAAAAATTGCTAGATTTTATGATGTAATATAATTTAATATATATTAAATTAACTTAAAGTAAGCCATTTCTAAATAATTTTGTTACACAGGTAAATGATGTCACCCGTTTTATATATGATCGTCCAATTTACAAGGGACCAATTGATAAGGATAATGAATTTAAGTCTCTTTGGGTTGAACGAACTACACTCGATATAGCAAGTCCCCTACCAGGTATATTGCGTTGGTTTGAAGTAAAACACAAATCCGTGCAAGAGATTACACCAGTAGAATTCGCTTGCGAAACTATGAATAATGTTGGCAAAGAACTTTGGGATTTGATTGTGCAATATCGTAATGATCCAAAACGAAATATAAATCCATTCTCTATGCGTTTGCAAGGTATTATTGATGCTAATGTCATGGGAGGTATAAGTAAATACCAAGAAGCATTCTTTTCTGAACAATTCATAAAATCACCGCAAGGACAGGGACAACAAACAAACGTGCAAAAATTGAAAGCTCTCATATTGGAACAAATACAAATTTTAGAACAAGCCTTGGAATTACATGGGCAACTAGCACCTGCTGGTGTACAACCCTTGCATAATCGACTACTGGAACGTTTTTCACAATTAAAACAAAGCCTTTCGGGTATGGGTCGTTTAAAGCGACAACATTCTGAAAGCATTGTTAATACACCTTTACCACCTCTGCCTACAGAAAAACGTACATTAAGTTTGGGTAGTAATGCGGCTCCACCAACGCATGCATTGGCACCACCAACATCCTTTGCTAACTCTAACTATTATGGTGTTTATGAGCATGATGATATTTATACAAGACCTGGTGATACAAGACCAGTAGAGATCACTAACCTAAGTTTAAGTTCGTTAGCTCATAACTCTTATCAAACATTAAGCAAAGAAAGTCTTAGTATACCAGAAATAACACGCGATCAACAAGCACCACCACCAGTACCAAATCGACCACGTTCACAAAATTTTGTAAATTCTGCTGTCGATAGTCCAGAAGTGCCACCTAAAAAGAATCTCAATCAATTAAACTCACCAAACGCACCACCATTACCACCACGTGGCATTACACCCGATAAGCGTGCTTCAAATCCTTTGGTATTCAATGATTTTTCAAATTCAGATGGTACAAGTTCCAGCATGCCACGAAGGCCACATTCTTCACTGAACCAACATCAACAACAACAACAACAAAATTCACAAAAGTATTCCGTGGTTGATATAAGTTTCGATGATCCAGAAGCAGATCAACCACCACATTCGCTTAATCATTTACACGATCCTACACATTTAAATGTGGGCTATACACCGAATGATTTTCGAGACTCTGGCATATCCACAACTAGCTCGCATGAACTCAATCATCTTAATAATTTAAGCGAAGAATCATCAACGAACTCACTTAGTACTGTACACCAAAGAGAACACTGCCGACTATCATCAAATGACAGTATAAATGGTGCTTTTACTATTAATACACAATTGAATATAAATCATCGTGAAAATTCTGCTAGTTCATTTGATATAGAGGATCTACCAATGCCACCACCACCGCCAATACCACCAAAATCATTAAATATAATTACCGCAAACGATTCATCTTCAATTGAAGAACAGCTTTCACCAAAAATTACACATAATCATTCCATATCTAATCATCAACATAATCATCATCATCATGTTCATCAACAAAATGGTATTAATGACGGTTATGTTGCGCCAAAAATAAATACAAATACATCTACAGGCGAAATTAGTGATACAAATGGAGATGGTAACACTTTTTGAGTTGCAATATGTCGCTGCCATCTACCACCGCCTACGACAACAACACACTCTCAAAGCAGCACCACAGAAACTTCATCAACTACACCATCGCCTCCTCCTCCACCACTAGCACCACTAATAACCACAACATCGTTACCACCCATTATACACACACAAAATCATAACCATTACCATCAACATGAGCATGAACATCAACATGAGCATCATTATCATCCCAGTGCACATTATTGTCATGAATGTCTTTCATCACCATCACCACCACCTACACATGCAACAACAATAACCGAACAGGTGCTCGTACATCGTCTGCCAGTTTCATCTTCATTATCATCATTAGCAACACCAACACAAACACCACCACCAACTACATTAACACAGGCAAGATCACTATCACCAACCACTCAAGGCTTACCATATATGGAGCACTGTTCATGTGGCTTAACATTTCCAGTTGAGCACAGAATAAGCGAATCGGCGACTACTTCAGCAGCTTCGACTTTACAGCGCGAACGAAATTATTATTTCAATGATGATCAAGAGATTAACTATTATTCGGGAAATAATACGTTTCATGTGCATAATCACAGTCACAATCACAGGTTTAATACCGCCCTATACAATACTCATATTAATTCACTTTCCCAACACAGTCATACACACACTTGTCAGCACGCAAGTCATGTACATGCACAGACCGATTTTTCGTACCCCAATCCACGATGACCAGTCACACTTCCGAATAGAAATTATCCCTAGTTTTCTGAGCATTGAATCCCATTGAGGAGATATCTAAATCAAGAAAAATGAAGAAAAATCTACATTATACCGGTATCTATCAGATATCTGCTGCTCTCGTACTGTAAGGGTCGTTTAATTAATTATTACTGTCGACTGTAGTCACATCGAAATGGATCGAAATGAGAAATATTGTTATAATTTTAACACAAATTTAAATTTCAATAGCACAAATCACTTTTTGATGACCTCAGAGCTTGCACCTTTTTGAAAACAAATACTAAGCTAAAGGATATTGAATTATTTCAATGCAAAAATATTGCAATCAAATATTCAACTAATGTAATGTTAAGACTCAAAAAAAAAAAAAAACAAAATAGTAAATAGATATATATAATACATATGTATATTTATTCAAAGTCAATGTTTTTTATGTTTGGTGCCAAAATTAAGTTAAATTATATTTACCAAAAAATTAAAATAATTATTTGTGTTTTTAAAATAAGTTCTAAAATAAGTTTATATATAAATTGTAAAACATATCTTTTTTTACATGAATTTAAGTCAATATCTTTTCATGAATCTTTTTAAACAAATTTAATAACTTAAGAAACAATATTTATGTACCACCAAAAACTAAACGATTTGAAATGGAATTGTTAAAATAAAAACTAAAATGTTTAAAGTTACTAAAATCTTAAAATATTTAATGGATATTTATAAAAAAAATAATTCTTAATTATATAGTCAAAAAAATTTGGTTTTTGTTTAATATAACATTTCAGATTTTCAAGACGCTTTCATTTTATAAAGTATAGCATTCAATTTTAATTTTCTAAACAAATCATTTTATAACACTCTATATTGATATAACTTAGTTCTCGAGACTCTACTAGTTTTCATGTAAAAGCTTGTGCAATTATACAGCCTGATATCTAGAGACCTAAGCTATGTCAACATATAACATAGCTAAAAAGCTACTCAGAATATTAATATTGACAAAAATCCATTGTCAAATCGCGTTACCTGCAAAATCAGTATAATGTTATATGATCATTAAACATACATATATCTATATAGATAGAGTATATAAAGTATAAACAAAATACAAATCTCAACTGTATGTTTTAATTTACAACAATGTCTTTAATATGTCTTTTTAAGGATATTAAAATGAAGTCAAAATTAAGAACGTTTTTTAAAAAATTTGTTATAGTTGTGTCTAAAAAAAATGTCCACAAACATGAAGATATTATATTATACCTGCTTAATCTATTCTGCTAACTAATCAGTCTACTTTGCTATAGGTATAATAGAAAAGTAATACCCATAAAGCTTTTAAATCTATTAGTTGTGTATACTATAACTTATAGTATGTGCGCTTTATAAGCACTTTTTTTCTAATATGTGATTATATGTTATTTAAGAATATAGCAAAATGAACGTGGAGTGATGTTTGAAAAATAATTATTTAATATTTTTATAAAGGACTTGCAGTTTCTAATTTTTAGAGCTATCCATCAACAAACGAATTTTATAAGCAATTTTTTTTAAATAAATTTATTATTTTATAAGTTTTATATTTAAATTGTAAGAGCTTCCCAAATATAAACAGAAGAACAGAATATAAAATAAAAATAAATTTAAAAATTTCAACAGCTTCTATCGTATGAAATTTTTTAATTAATTTCTAACTTTTTTAAACAAATTGAAAATGACTTTTAATAATTAAAATAAAATCAAAAAAGTAACAGCATTTATAAGTTAAATTGTATAAAATTAATTAAATAGTTTTTAATTTTTTTTAAAACAAACTATTTATTTAAACTATATTGACATTTTATAATTTGCATTTTATTTATATTTTTTCTTTTATTACATATAATTTTATTTTGTTACTTTTTAATTTATAAATAAAACAATCAGAATTTAAAAAAGTGTAATTGTAAATAATCGTATATATATCTACCTATTTAAACGATATTTATATTTTCGCCATCGTGAAATTTCAACAACAACAAGAAAACTTCTTTAAATCAAATTATAACTATTAATATTATATATATATATATATATGAAATGTAGTACTGTAACATTATGTAGTGATGCACATAATATAAAATTGTTATATTTTATATTAATATATATATACATATAATATTTATATAACATATTAAATAAAGTTATATATAATAAACTATATTATAGTATTGATTCTAACAAAATACATACAACATCACACTAAATACTATTAATTTATATAAATGTTAATATATATTAAAATATATCAATACAATTAAATTTATATAAAAAATTAAAAATAACTTAATATGCAGTAAAAGTGTGAATGAATAATTTTTAAACAATAATGCAATTCCTATTCATTATATAATCTTTTTAAAATATATAGAAAAAATAGAAAAAATACAAAAAACAATATATAAAAGTTAAGTAAAAAAGTTGTGAAAAAATGCGAGCGCATTTTCGCGTTTTAAGCATTAAACGAAATCAAAGTTCTTCGAAAAGTTGTAATCAAAAAACACCATTTTAAAATTTATTCAATATAAATTTTATATAACAAATATTTATACAAAAAATTTATATATTAAATAAAAAAAACAAACATAGTTACATATTATAAAAATCTATAGCGAAAATCTTCTAATGTGCAATGAAGTCATTTTACTTTAAAGAAACGAAAAAACTATTCATTATTTTTAACAAAAAAAAAACAGATATAAATAAAAGAAAAACAATATATACAAGTAATAAAGAAAATCATAAGGATAAAATTAATTATACTAGTCAACATATAAGCAAATTATTATGTTATACATATTATTTATATAAAATTTGTATATCATTTCAAATACATATTGTAATTTAAAATTTAAAAATTAATATATTTAAAAAGCATAAAGCGAATTTAACAAATAAACTTTAATAAAAACATTTAAAAACCAAAATAAATACTATATATACATACAAAAAGTAATGGAAACTATTCATTTTTTAATTGCCATACCTGACTTTAAATAAATTTATTTTTCGCTTATTGAGAAATACGTTGATTATGCGTTAATGAAAAAAATCCGTTTAAATTTAAATTTAAAAATTTATATTTTCATTATTATATCTCCAACTCAAATAGCATTAACGGTACTGCTAGATATGATAAAGGATGTTACATACATTCAAACCAATGTTAAATGCTTCGCGTATACATAAACGTACTCGATGGATCCAGTGGCTAAGCTGATTCAATAATTCAGACATAGCTAGCGCTACCGTCAGACGGAAGAACTTTCAAACATGACTATACGATGTATTCATGCCTATAAATATACATTATAGTAGCATATTTAAATATGTACAGTGTATTTAAATACACTAGATTTTTCTGATCAGACTAGTTATATCATTTTGTAGTACTTCAGTGGAAAGGAAAATGATATGCAAATAATTTTTAAAAATAATTAAAATTAAGGCATGCCACAATGCCCTTAAAATTAAATAAAATTTATATCACGAGGGTGGTTTGATAAGTCAGTGACTGTTTGAATTTCCCGCGCAGTTACTCCAAATGCAACAGTGCTGCCGTCAGCCATAATCTACCAGTGGGCAACTTTTTAATTTTAAGCAAGCTACGTCGTTCAGTTGGTGTTGGATAGGCGTTCAAAGTAGACAACCTCGTGGATTTTTACGAAAATGGAAAAAAGTGAATTTTGTTTGCTGATTAAGCATTGTGACCAAAATCCACGAATTGAGATACGAACTGCTACCCCATCCAGCATATTCTCCAGATTTAGCCCCCTGCGACTATTTTCTGTTTCCAAACCTAAATAAATGGTGAAATTCACTATTCACACTATTTTTCTATAACATCTCACAAGGAACTATAACATCTCATATAAAAGTAACTATTATGTCATATGGGAAGAGAGTTAACATACAAGATGAAGTGTCTCATTGCATTTAACGTGACCAAGGACGACTCACGTCTGTAATGGTCAACTAAATAACTAAGTAAGTAATTGTTATGTTGTTAGCCGTATAATTCTCATATTGTTGAAAGTCCTTAGTTATTTGGTTTTCTTACGAACTTTGATGTGATGAGTTGCTTTGGGACGTAGATCTAGACTCTTATGGATTCTTAAAAGCAATTGATAAATTCTAGCTTGCAAAAATATTTATAATATAGAGCTAAACCTTTTTCAAGTTCTTTTACTAAATCTCTTACTATATATAAACGAAAATATAAAATAAAATTATTTCAATAGTTTTCAAATGCACTATCCTTTATTTATTTGATTAGTACTATAAATTTGGTTTGTTTTTTTTTTCTTTTTAAAATTTTTCATTTATATGTGTTGAAATGTAAGAGACATTTGAGGTCTTAATTATTTATTAGCATTTTTTTGAAATACTTTATAGTTTTATATACTTTGCAACACTAAATAATATGCAAAAAAAATGAATAAAAAAATTTTAAATAATTTGAATAACTTTTGAAATTTCTTAAATACTATAAAGTAAGGACTATCAATCATATATATGTAAGCTTAGTATTGAATGGCTTAAACCTTGTCAATACCTGTAAGCGTTTTTAGATTATTAATTAGGTATTTATTGTACTCTTTATAGTTGATAGGTGCTACTGATTGTACAGTTACCTTATTGCGATGCATATCCTGTTAATAAAAAATATACATATTTACTTCATATGTTAATAAAAAATATAATATAAAACTTACGCCATAAACTTCAACTTTGGTGCGTAATTTAAAAATGTGTGAACTGAAATGCAGAGATGAAAATATTTCCTCAGCTTCAGTTGCATTATGTTCTAGAGCTTCGCCAATTTCTTGTGGAGAACGATTTAACAATTGTTCGGCAACATCACTAAAGCAAGTAACCCAACGATTAGAGGTCCAATCACCAATGCACATCTGTTAATTTTTCAAGTGTTTTTTTTTTTAATTGGTTTCATAGTATATATTTATTTAATAACATACATTTAAAAGCAACCTGTACTTGAAATTGGGAAAAACAGCATTACAACGTTCACAACGATAATGGCCATTATTCTCATCAACCACTTTTTTATTACATTCTGGTTGTGGACAAGCTTTGTAAAATGCATTTTGAGTTTTAACAACATGAACAACTGCTTTGCATTGGAAGTAATCAGGTCTGTCACCTTGACCCAAATTCTTTTGACGAGCTTCAAAGAATGATATCCATTCGGTGTTGAAGTTACCTCCCGCCACACCGGCACCTCTGTTAAAAAAAGATTAGGTAAACATAAATTTTATACAATAAAATTTATTATTTCACAACCTGGCAGATATG